CCTAAACCCTAAACCCTAAACCCTCTTTCCTTGGGGGAGTCTCAGGTCTGCGATGATCAAAGCCTTCTGGGATGCGACAGGGAGATGCTAGGACACAGAGTGGGGCCCACTTACGCACTCCTTTTAGGGGTTCAGGGTTTAGGGTTTGGGGTTTAGGGTTTAGGGTTTAGGGTTCAGGTTTTAGGGTTTAGGGTTTGGGGTTGTGGCTTCTAAACCCCTTTAAGCAAGGAAAAGGGGTCTCGAGGACCTAAAACAAGGAATGGATCCGATGGCACTGACGATCCCTGCCCAAAACCCCTACGCCCTCAACCCTAAACCCTCAACCCTGAACCCTTAAACCCTCAACCCTGAACCCTTAAACCCTCAACCCTGAACCCAAACCCTAAACCCTGAACCCAAAGTGCCCCAGGCGCTGTTGAGTGTGATGACCGGCGTGGTCAGTGATCACATCCAATACGTGCGCGAGGCGGGCTTCAGGCACACCAAACCCCAAACCCTGAACCCTAAGCCCTAAGCCCGAATTCCTAAACCCTCCACATCCCCCGCAGGAATGTTTAGGGTTTAGAATTCCTGAAAGCCTGAAAGTGGGGCTTGCTCTAAGCTCGGGCCCCTCTTCGTGACCTTCTTTCCAGGATTTCGAAGGTAAAGTACCTATCAGGAGATCCTCGTCTAGAGCAGTCGCCAAATCCTACGCCCCTAAGCCCTAAACCCCAAGCCCTAAAACCCAAACCCTAAACCCTAAACCCTAAACCCTAAACCCTAAACCCTAAACCGTAAACCGTAAACCCTAAACCCTAAACCCTAAACCCTAAACCCTAAACCCTAAACCCTAAACCCTAAACCCTAAACCCTAAACCCTAAACCCTAAACCCTAAACAGTTCAGGCATCATCTGATGTGCCAGCTGAAGGTGCTCCCCAGCCCAGCCGCAGGTGCAGGAGTCTGAGGACGAAGTGGCCCATGACGTGCGCCAAGGTAACCTCGTGAGGCCAGGAGCTTGCCTCTCTAGTGTAGGGTTTAGGGTTTAGGGTTTAGGGTTTAGGGTTTAGGGTTTAGGGTGTAGGGTTTAGGGTTTAGGGGTTAGGGGTTAGGGTTTAGGGTTTGTCACTCATGTTTTGGCTTGGTCTCTCTCACCCTCTCTCTCTCTATCCCTCGCTCTCTCTCTCTCTCTGAGTCTCCCTCTCTCTTTCTCCCTCTCGAGGTCCCTTCCTCTCTCGGACTCGCAAGCTATAGGGAAGATGCGGTTCCTGCGTTGACAACTGCTACTTGAACTGCTTGCGTTTGGCGATGTTCCTTTGCAGGCATTCAGCATTGCACCTGCTCTAGGCCCCCCATGCCGAAGATTCAAATGGCTGTCCGCAATTTTGCTTCGGATGGCCTTGATGTTTGGCTAGTCTGGTGTTTCGAGCATTGCTTGAAGCGCGAGCATGAGCAGGTACAGAAAGAGTTGATGCATCTTGCGACTTCACTTGGTGTCAAATTCGTTTGTCACAAGAAAGCTGCGGGCTTTCTCAGCTGGTTGGATGGCAGGGCGGGTACCATGCTCATCATCGCAGACTGGCGGGAGACAAAGCCCATCGTTAAGAAGCTCAGTGAAAGGAGCAACCGTTGCATCCTCCGCATGTGCGTCGTTGGACGCTCAGAAAAGATGCTCCGCAACGCGTCCCTCTTTGCCGGTAGGCAGAGCACAGGAGCGGAGATTTTGGTGACATCTTCCTTCTCATGTGAGAGCGTGGAGGAGTTCATCCGATCTTACGTGCAAGCCGCACGTGAGACAACGAAATGCGCGGAGATCAAGCTGATGTCGTTGCCCTTGCAGACCAAGCCCATTGAGACACTTCCTTGGTTGTCTCTACCCGGTCTCCTCGAGTCCATCCAGGACCCCGAGACGGCTGGGATGCTCGAGCAGCTCATTCGACAGACCATGTGGCAAGTCTATGAGGACTGAATGCAGCAAGGCTGCATGCAGGTCCAAGATCAGCACTGGGTGGTGCAGAAGTTCCATGTAAGCACCGGGCAAGGACTCAGAATCGTCCAAACGGACGAGCGGAGGGTACTCACCGGGTGCGATGCTCAACTTGAGCAGCTCATTCGGCAAGACGTTTGGCAGGGCTGCTCACACAAGAATGATTGTTTTCCCATGTTCTATGTTTCTCGGATCCTTCAGGTCCGAGACCGGCACGGCGTGTAAGTTCCTCGTGAGACGCCTGCAAGGGCCCAGCATTGTCTGAAACAAGTTGGGCTTAGCAAGTCACACTGGGCTTTTAGCACATGTCTGGACAAAAAAAGTTGCCCACTGCAGGTCTGGTCGGGTACCCCGAGTCCTCCAGACCTTCATGGAACCCTAGACCCCTAAATCCTAAAGCCCTAGACCATCGGGTTTCAGTTTCGGGCCTGGGGCCTGTGAACCCAAAACCCTAAGCCCAACAGCCTCAACCCGAGGGAGCATACTTGAAGGTTCATGGGCAGTTGTAGGTGGGGCTTTAAGCACCCGGGAAAAGGCTATAACCACTGGTAACTGCTGCTATCCACTTATCAGTCCAGTTTGAACTGCCCGTGAGCCTCCAAGCAAACCCTAAACCCCAAGCCCCAAGCCCTAAGCCCTAAACCCTAAACCTTAAACCCTAAACCCTAAACCCTAAACCTTGAAATGTTGCAATCCCGGATTTCGGCTCTTGTGCCAGGACTCTGTCGCAAATCTTCGCGGCCGCTGATACGGATGGGTCTGGAAGACTGCAGGGCGCCCAGAGGGGCTAGGGTTTAGGGTTTAGGGTTTAGGGTTTGGGGTTTAGGGTTTAGGGTTTAGGGTTGGGTTTGTATAGGGCTTGGGGGTTTAGGGTTAGGGTCACGGGAATAACCGGCCCCGGCCCCCCCCCCCCCACTCCCAGCATCTGCTTTGGCGGGCGTTTCGGAGGGTTTTGAGGATGGTAGAAGAGAGGTGGTGGCAATCAAGTGGGTCTGGGGCGGTTCTGGAGTCTGGGGTCCGGGAGTCTGAGGTCTGGGTTTAGGGTTCAGGGTTTAGGGTTTAAAATTAGTAGGGTTTAGGGTTTAGGGTTTAGGGTTTAGGGTTTTGGGTTTTGGGTTTAGGGTTTAGGGCAGCTTCTCCGCAAACTTAACTCTTAATCAATCTGCAGTACAATTTTGGATCCCTGGCCAGCCAATTTTGACAATTGCCACCCCAGTATGATTGTCACCAGGACCCCCTCATATATGGTCCAGTGCTCCCCGGACCCCCCTCCCCCCCCCCCCCAACCCATGGTCTGGAACTCCCCCCCCCCCGTGGTGCGGTTGGGGTTGGTTTAGGGTTCGGGTTTGTTTGTGGTTTAGGGTTTGGTTTGAAAGGGTTTTAGGGTTAACCCCCCCCCCCCCCCCCTCCTGTGGTGTGGTTGTGGTTCGGGGTTGGTTTTAGGGTTTAGGGCCTAGGGTTGGTTTAGGGTTCAGGGTTCAGGGTTCAGGGTTTAGGGTTTAGAGTTTAGGGTTTGAAAGGTCTGAATCCAGGCTATGTATAGTGTGAAGTCATGCCAGGATGTGAATATACTCCGCTAAACATTGGCTCAATAGGGGCCCCTTGTAGCCTTCCACCCGAGCGCTATGCAGTAAACAGTGCTTGCAGCAACCAGTCTTGGGAGGAAATCCAAACTGGTAGCGGAGCAGGACCCTTAGGTGGCCTGCCGCTACAGCTGCCTAGGTACGATCTTGTGGCCTTGGGCGAGCCGATCGACCCACTTCGCAACTCCGACTTCTTCGACCTCGAGTTCCTTTTCCCTGGACCTCTGCCATGTCCGTGGCAGGCCTGCGGTTTACCCGCAACACCTCCTCGAGCTCCATGGCCGAGACCAAATCCGGGTCATACATCTATGGTGGTGACCCCAGTACATATCATGACTGGGAATTCAGGACGCTCTTGCGCCTGAAGCTTTATGAGGATGCCATCCGTGCGAAGGCCAGTGCGCAATCCCGTCAGGGATCCCAAAGAGGAGACTCTGACGCGGGGGGCGCCCGTGCCGAGGCCGAGCCTGGTGCCGGCGACGATGGCGAGGACCCAGATGGGTCTGGAGAGGAGGATGGCGAGGATCCCCCGCGACCCGCCGCAGATGCGACCCAGAGCGGCGCAACCCGCGACGACGCGTACTTCGACTTCGAGACGCTCTCCAGCCGAGGCGGAAGAGGAAAAGGGCGTGGAGACAAGAGCCCACGTATCTTTTCCATGGCAAGCGCTGAATTGGCCCCGGCGAGCACGAAGGCGAGGACGGAAATGGTACATCGCGTACTCGAAGGCCTCCGAGACGATGCCTTTGATCTAGCGCGAGACATGGGCGTTGAGGCCCTGACAGCACCTGGAGGGCTGCGCCGTTACATCGCGAAGCTGCGCGAGATGGTGTTTCCGCGCGCTGCGGAAGAAGCCAGAGAGCTCTTCCGCGTGGGACAGAGGCCTGGTACCCTGTCACGCCAGTCCGGCGAATCGATGCTGTCGTACGTTTCACGACGACGCCGGTGGTGGAAGTTGCTCAAAACGCTGGACAGTTCCATCGAGCTTTCAGAGCCGATGCGAGTAGAGCTACTCCTTGAGCTCGACTCTCGGGACTATCTAGACAGGAGTCCCTGGTCATTAAGGCATGCACCAAAGACCCAAAGGGCTTTGAGTCCGTTGCCGAGACCCTGGTCGAGCACTACACCGGCGTGCACCTGAAGGAAGGCCGAGCCCTGGGAGGCTCAATGCCCTCAGCAAAGGGTACCGGAAGGACCCCCTTCTACAAGGGCAAAGGAAAAGGGAAATCTCGAGGATTCCCTCGAAGAGCCTACGCCGCCTTCGACGACGAGATAGCCGAAGAGGAGTACCCAGAGGAGGACTCCCATGAGCCCCTCGACTACATCCCCGAGGCCTACGTCGCTGAGGAGCAATATAGTCAGAAGTCACCTTACACTCGAGCAGCGCCGAGACAAGCTGAAGGCGCTGAAGGCCAAGTCGAAATGCTTGCGCTGTGGCGGAACAGGACACTGGGCAGGCGACCCAGAGTGCAAGTTCCCTGCGGGAACTGGCAAGTCCGGTGGAAAGGCCGCCAACGTAGCTGTCATAGCACGTGCGGACCTGAGCCGCCCCGACGGATTTGACATACCGTCTGGCACACCGGACATAGACCCATCGGGCTATGTTGTGCGCGCCACAGCTGGTGCAGTCTCTAAGGCAAAGAGCAAGGCTGCAGCATCAGGGTACCCAACGGGACCCACGCCAATTTCGATGGAGATGGAAGGTGGAGATAGGAAGTTCTACCTCGGTCAGCGCCGAGGAAAGACCTATGCTGAAGTGGCGTCGAACGCTGAGTACGTCACCTGGGCCCAGCTCCAGACGAACCCAAGCCGCCAACTCCAAGACTTCCTGGCCTGGTTCTCGAGGTACTACACCATCCAGAACGGCGAGGTGGTCACACGAGCTGGCGAAGGTCTTCCCGAGGGACACTATGTGCCCGGGTGAAGAACAAGAAGGGGAGCAAGAAGCCCCCGAATCCTCCACTGGAGCGCTGCGCCCAGGGATGCAACGACTTCTCGCACCTCGGCTCGACCATGAACATTCTCAGGAAGACGTGCCGGGATTGTGGTAACGTGAGCCAAGAGCCGCGTCAGATTACCTACACGCACGACCCGGCGACCTGTCCCCATGATGTGGTGGATCGTAGAGGCAGTTCACGATCGGTTTCCCGCACGTTCTGCAAGCAGTGCGGAACCTTCGTTGACGAGGTCCCTGCCGACTTCCAGAAGGAGAGAAGGAAGGCTGCAGAGCAGGCCTTGGCAGCCACGGAAGAGGCCCTCTCCATGATCCAGTACACCACCTCGGAAGATGCGACCCGGGAACTCAACTCCGACGAAGTCGAGCCCGTCCTCAGCATCTTCACCGACGACATCATGGAATCGATGGCTATGGGGATCAGTATGACCCCGAATGTCATGCATGGTCGACTCAAGGAAGCGATCAGCCGAAGTCGTATGCCCAGCAACGACGAACCAAGCCCAGGGGGTAGTCCTGACTCTTGGGCGAGAGTTGCACATGTTGGAGTCATCGACCCAACAATCCTTTCCAGAGAAGAAAATGTCCTGGAAAGATGGAAGAGGATCGCCCGTGACCTCTTCTCTGAGCACAAGAAGGTAGCGCTTGAAGACTGCCTGCACCGGAGTGTCTGCAGAAGGGTCTAGGGGTTAGTCCAGACCTAGATCTAGGCACTTCGCCAGATCATGTCCTACCCCTGCCTAAGTCTGGGCTAGGTATGGGAGTAGGGCGTGGCTCCTGCGCAAGGAACTCTACTTCGACTACGAGCTCTACTACCTGGACGGTGGACTGCAGCAAGGGCGATCGGAAGACGCTCAAAGAGGACGATCTGGAGACGTCCTCCTCCTCAACAAGGACCGGGATTCCTAAGTCAGGGTTCGTGGCTTCTCTTCCCACTGACTTAGTCCCTGTCGACAACCTTCCCCATGTAGACATGTGGGGCCCAGATGAGCCCGATATCTGGGGAGCCTTGGATGAAGGTTGCAATTCCACTTGCCATAGTAAGACCTGGGCTATCCAAACGGAAGCTCGCCTAAAGGCTTTCGGTCTTACCTTCCCCTGGCTAAATTCCAACACCCGGAGCTTCTCAGGCCTGGGGGCGACCACCAAAACCATAGGTAAGCGGAAGCTGCCCGTTTGCCTCCAACTTGGGGATCAAGGCGAGACCCTAGCCGGTGTACTCGAAACCCACGAAGTAGACACCGATGCACTGAATCCCCTGTTGATCAGTTTGTTCGCCCAAAGCACCCTCGGCCTTGTGAAAGACATGAAGCGATGCGTGTGTTGGATTGTGGATCAAGACGGAAACCAGCAGTCACTTCCTCTTGCTAGATGCAATGATACTGGTCTTAATGCTTATCAATCTGTCATGCTTTCATATTAGGTCTGAACCGCTCCCGAAGTGTATGGATGTTTGTAGGATCAAACGACCTACTAAGGAAGATAGGCCTACAGCGTACGAAGCCCCGCAGAGCGATCCTGGAGTAGACCCTAAGGGCTACTCGGCAATCGAGGTTAATCCCGACTTGCTTTTTCTGGATCCTCTGGACCAGGGAGCCATGGTGGAAAGGACAGCGAAGTGGCGCCCCACGAACGACGACGTCAACATTAGGGGAGCCAATCCGCGGATCACGATTTTGACCGCGGGGATCAAGTACTACGTCGGCCCCGACGAGAACTGGTGGCAGGACAAGTTCAAGCAGCCTGGGACTTGGCGGCCCTGGCTTGACCCGAAGTTCCAGGCGAAGCACCTCTACGTCTACGACCTCAGGAACATCGGCAATCCAGGTGAAGGCAGGTATGGTGGATGCTTGGGGCGCCGCCCGGAGATCATCAAGCAGTTCCTCGGCAACCGCAACGGGGTAATGCACCTTTATAGGGCATTACAGGATATCGACTCCACTCCGGAGAACGAGAACATCGTCATCCTTTCTTCTGCACCTCGAACAGGCGCAGGAGCGTAGCCGCTGGCACGCTGTTGTCCTGTATGCTCAGCAACAGGAAGAGCCAGCACGCCCTCATCCACTACGACGCCCATCGAGCCTGGGAAGGTATGCGTTGTGGAGGTCAGTGCGTGAGATGTGGCGAGAGATTCGATCAGAAGACGATCTTGGACGTGGGCGCCATGGCCACCAACTACCTTAAGGGAGTTGAGCTCGGATCCAGATCGTCGGGTTCGAGCGGTTTGGACAGGAGCACGTCGGTGCCGCCCACGCGCAGGGCACTGAGCCTTGGCCCTGCTGGAGGAGGACCACACCGACCAGATGGACGCATTCAGGCGAAGGCTATGGCGACCATGGGACCGGCTGGCTCATGGGTGACGGGGAGCCTGCGGCCCCCGGAGCCGGTAGGTCCACCACCACCTGGTCACACTGCGCCTCCTTTGCCCCCGCCGACTACACCGCACCCGGACGTCGCGGCAGCCATTCCGGCGCCCGCTACACCGCCAGCTACACCGTCGACGCCCGCTGCACCGAGTATACCCCGAAGGTCACGGCGACTAAGTCGCCGCCGGCAGTGGTGCTCAAGGCCGGACCCGGAGCCAGTGAGCCCGGGGCAGCCGAAGAGTGGACCCAGAGAGGCCACGGATGATTTGAGCTACTGGCGTGACCGCTGCATCCGCATCGAGGCCATCCACGGGGTGAAGGAGGAGTCGTGGCAGCAGCAGAAGGAGAGACTCGAGGCAGAGTCCCGAGTTGACAAGCAGACCATCACGGAGCTCAACACCGAGAACAAGAAGCTTTTGTCTCGAGCCATTACGGCCGAGACCGAGTTGGACGTCGAGCGTAAGCGCCGACGCAGACTCGAGCGTGACTCGAGCTTGGGCACGGAAGGAACCTTAAGGTCCTTCGATAGCGAGGAGAGCGACAGGGCTCGGTCGGTCAGCCCATGGCTCTGGAAGCCGTGTTCCCTCGGAACCGCCGATCAAGGAAGAGCCTGGTGAGGAAGGCAGTCAATGAGGACATTCAGGGCGGCGACGACGACGGCAAGGAGGAGTTCCCCAGCTACTTCCAGAACGTTGATGGCATGGAGGGTCCAACGCCGCAGACCCCATGGGCTGCGAACTTGAGTTTCAACGATCTTAAGACGTTGATGAACAACTTGTACATCGAGGCCGACCGCGTGTACCCGAAGAACGGCTGGGTTGGCCCCGTCGAGAGGAGCAAGCCCGCGACGGAGGTTCTCAAGCACAACCTCCGCTACTGGACATTCCCATGCCAGCGCCGTATCACCCACAGGTGGGATAAGGCCTTGAGGAGTTTCAGGAAGTCTTCGCTCCTGTTCCACGCTGCGACTGGAAAGGCAACGATCCTTCAGGAGGACGTTGCGATGGGCGCCCCGATGGCGACCCTGGGTGACCGCGATCCCGAGGACGTGTATGTCATCGTAGCCCGTTCCTCGGAGCGTGAGGGAGCCCAAGGCCCCTTTCTGCCCCGGCATTCCACGTACCACGGGACGCCAAGCGCACCAGGGCAAGGGCGCCGCCACGACGCAAGCAGGCGTGGCAGAAGCAACAGCCGCACGCGGCCGTTCGCCAGACCGCACTACTCGCAGTTCGATCGGCGATACACAGACCGCTCTGCACCAGGTCTTGGTAAAGGGCTAGGTTCGGGATCTCCTAAGACCCAACCCAAGAACCAAAACCAGCCAAAGCCCAAGACCCAGAACCTCAACCACCTCAACCTCGTCAAGCACAACAAGAGCCTCGACAAATACTTCCACCCCAACAACTTCAACACCCTCAAGACCTCGACTACCTCGTCTTCTTCTTGAGGGAGTTCAAGGTCGGTTAGTATCCCTAGTGGAACTAACGAGGGGGTGCATGCTAGTACAGCACTCATGGCAGTTCTATCTAAAGGGCGAAGAAGAACTGTCCGGAATGGCATCCAGGAACTTAGGGATCATGATTTGGCCCTAAGGCACCTCTGCAATACTTCAACCCATACGGTGAAGCCTGGAAGCCGTGCCCTTCTCGTCACCTCCAACCCCTCTGCCTTCGAGGACAACGGCTTCAACACCTTCGACACCGGAGTGAACGCAGAGGTTGGATGGACGGCAGAAGGGATTCGGCGAACTCTTCAGGGAAGCAGCCCGAGTGTTATTGTTGTTGCGATTGAGTATCGGGATGATTGTTTGAATCACAGCGAATTGATGGATGAAGTTGTTTCGCATTGTGAGTGTTCAGGTTCTGAGTTTCTGGTGATTGATGTTGCAGATACTGAGAGATGGAGTTACTTTTCGATTCCCATGTACCCCGAGTTGGGACATGGAGACATTTCGTATGTGACAAACAGCGAAGATTTAGCCTCAGCATTTGAAGGATGGTGCAACGGGGGATTCCCATATGTACCCCCGAAAGGAATGCGTGATGTGTTCGACAATGAATTTGCGAACTGGTTGATCGAGTATGTCACCGATCAAACGGCCATTGCGTTGGTTAGCACGTCCTACCCAGCATGGGAGGATACCGAGATGGAGCCCCTCGACAGCGTCGAGGACGTCGAGGACCGAGCACAAATGGACCCGGGTGAAGAGGCCATTCAAGAAGATCTCGAGCTTGATGAAGCCGAGATTCCGAACCTACCTATTCAGGAGGCGGAACGACGAGCCGGATGGAAGAAGCTACCTCAGCGCATCAGGGTAGCGATCCGTCGGCTGCATCGCCAGTTTGGTCATGCTCCCAGGAAGGTGCTCATGAACCTTCTCAGAGCTGCGAAGGTTGATCCGCAGTACCTTGAAGGACTGCGATACCACAGATGCATCGAGTGTGAGGAGACGAAGCCAAGAAGGAATGCCCACACGACATCCTTGCCCGGCGCCTACGTGTTCAACCACACCCTCGGCGTGGACATCTTTGAGATCCTGGACGCATCTGGTACCAAGTATCAAGTTTTGAACTTGGTGTGCCTCGGCACATGTTTTCAGTTGGCCGAAATTGTTCGAGAAGGTCCTGGAACCCCAACTAGCTCCAAATGTTTGGAGGCTATCCAGAGGCGATGGATCACTTGGGCTGGCCATCCCAACTCCATGAAGTGCGACCGCGGATTGCGCAACCGCGGGATCTTGGCTCAGTACATGAGTGCCCATGGAGTGCAGGTCACCCATGCGCCTTTGGAGACTCCAGAAGCAATTGGACGAGTTGAACGACATGGAGGCGTTCTCAAAGCTATGGTTCGGAAGACAGCTGCCCAAGTTCAAGCACATGGTTGGCAACAGATGCAGCAGGTACTCGATGAGGCCTGTCTGGTGAAGAATAGCCTACTCAGGCAGGGAGGCTACTCACCGGCCCAATGGGTGCTTGGACGAGCACCACGCGAGCTACCATCTATCCTTAGTGAAGATGGGCATGCAGATCTAGGAGCCATTCAGGACTCCATAGATCCAGAATCAGCCTTTGCACTTCAGCACCAATGCAGAGCCGAAGCGAAGAAAGCATTTGTGCAGCTCGACACGTCGAAGCGAGTGCAGAAGGCCTTGCTCCGCAGTGCAAAGCCAATACCCGGCGAGTATCGGGTTGGAGATGTTGTGACCTTTAGACGCACAAAGGCCGGGAAGACGACCTGGTCTCCTGCATCCCGAATCATTGGGTTCGAGGGACGCGAAAAGGAAGCAGTCTGGCTCCTTTGCGAGAACGTTCCTGTTCTAGCCTCAGCGCAGAACATAAGACCCGCGTCGGATGCAGAAGCACTGGCCTTTGACATCCTCCACGGCAAGCAGGTTTTCCCAGATGAGATTCTAGGAGGACAGCAGAACTTCGACGATGTTCGCGAACCTGGAGCGGAGGATGAAGCCCCAATAGAAGAGGATGAGCAAGCGCTCATTCCGCAGGCACCAGCTCAGGAGGATCCAGGCGGACCTCCTCTACCCTCTATCCTCGAAGAAGAGGATGAGCCTACGAGAGAAAGGTCCAGATCACCACCTGAGCGGCGCGTGCATGCAGCTACTTCGTCGACTACCTCAACGTCAAGAAGGAGGCCTAGTGTTGCAGAACCAGAAGGAGAGCGAACTCCAGGTGGAAGCTGCAGGCCGTCAACCTACGACATCCAGGACGACTTGCCAATGCAGATCCGGGAGAGACTGCAGAACGCACAGGAATCCGGAGATAGGATTCGGGCCCTCTTAGCCGAACTCTATGACTGCGGCAGTAGTGGTTCCGACTGGTATGACAAGTCAAGAGCAGCCGTACCGCATCTGATGTTCACGGATTGTAGATCGTTATCTGACAATCTGAACAGTGAAGTGCCATCAACAAAGGTTCAAGACAAGAGATGGCAAATTGAACTGAACGCTTTGCGTCAGGCACTGTTCGATGATGACGGATCAAAGTTGATTGACCGTTACCCTGATGCGGCTGACAGGATCACGTGGACCTCAACGGCCACAATGATCGCTGATTGTCTCACCAAGTCAATGAAGCCTGATTTTCTCATTGGAGTACTCAGGGACTGCGTGTACCATATCGAAAGGCAGTAGAGACTCTACCCGTTGGCTACGGACAGAAGTGGCTACGGAGACGTAGAACGTCGATGTTTAACACGACATTTCCTCTATCTCAATTCACACCTGAGAAGAGGATGAGTCTGAATCCAGGCTATGTATAGTGTGAAGTCATGCCAGGATGTGAATATGCTCCGCTAAACATTGGCTCAATAGGGGCCCCTTGTAGCCTTCCACCCGAGCGCTATGCAGTAAACAGTGCTTGCAGCAACCAGTCTTGGGAGGAAATCCAAAAAAGGGTTTAGGGTTTAGGGTTAACCCCGCCGCCCCTCCCCCCCCCTGTGGTGTGCTTGGGGGTTGGTTTTAGGGTTTAGGGTTCAGGGTTTAGGGTTTAGGGTTAGAGACCGTAGACCTGGAGGGGGGGGGGGATAAACGCCTCACACACATGGGTTTTCCCAAGGAAGGCGCAACACTCCCAACACACGGGTTTTGCCGAGGGTGTGCTCACAGTCGGCCCCCCCCGCCCCCCCCTACCTGACCATACCATGGGGGGGGACACGCCAGACGCCGGACCATATGGTCCAGTGTAGACATACGGGCCCGGAACCTTCTCCAAATGGAAAGAAGTCTTGGGCCGGACGAATATTACAATTCCCCACCCCATTCCTTTAAAGGTGAGATTACCATTAGAGTTTAGGGATTGGGGCTTAGGGTTTAGGGTTTGGGGCTTAGGGTTTAGGGCTTAGGGTTTAGGGGGTCTAGGGTTTAGGCCTTAGGGCTTAGGGTTTAGGGTTCAGGGAGAGTTGAGCTGGCCCCTTTCTGGCTTGCTTGGGAGAAGGCTCGTTTAGCCCTGACCGCCAAACCCCAAACCCCAAACCCTAAACCCAAAACCCGAAAGCCCAAGCCAAGCCCCACGCCCCAAGCCCCAAGCCCCAAGCCCCAAACCCCAAACCCCAAACCCCAAACCCTAAACCCTAAACCCTACGCCCTAAACCGCAGTTTGTCAGGCGACGTGAGCTGTACATGGAGATCCTCCACTCGCCATTTCAAGTGCGGCGGCTTCAGCAGGTGCCTGCGATGTCTGCCTTATGTGAGGGTTTAGGGTTTAGGGTTTAGGGTGTAGAGTTTAGGGTTTAGGTTTTACGTTTTAGGGCATACCGGAGCATGGGGATGAACCCACGACCCTCAACCCTAGGCCCTCAACCCTAAACCCTACTTTCCTACCTGCGTCCGCCACCCTGAGGCGGCTTTTCAGGCGCTGCGGGCCCATCCTCCACACCACGATTCCATCGAAAAGTTCAAGCACTTGTTAAGAATGAGTTGAGGTGTCTTTAGGCCCTAAACCCTAAACCCTAAGCCCTAAACCCTAAATTTAGATCTTTGTCAAGATCCTTTCCGGGACTCTTAGCCTTCGACCTTAAGCAGCCGCAAGCAAGCCCTAAACAGATTCAAAAAACAACACGAAAGCCCGAAAGAGCCCGAAGGAACGCAAGGCCCTAAAGCCGACACAATGAAAGGCCTAACCCCCTTGGAAGCCCGTAAACCCCGAAGCCGAAGCTGCGTCCGGGCGCTCAGACGGTGAAGCTCCACCTGGAGGACATCAAGCAAATCTTCGATTTGCCCCTCAGCTCGGGAAGCAGGAAGTTCGGTTGTGGGGTGTCCAGGTGGCCGGGTTTGGGGTTTAGGGTTTTGGGATTAGGGGCCTTGCTACTCTTTGCTAGGAACCCCCCTCTCCCCCCCCCCCCCCCAAAAAAAAAAATGAAATTGAAGAATGATGATAAGCCCTATGTTACGCCCTTGCAAGGAAGAATCTTTTTGGGTTGTTCTCAAGCAAGTAGTAGCTCAGTGTTGTTAGGGTTTCGGGTTTTAGGATTTTGGGGGTCGGGTGTGTAGGAGGTAGCCTGTGATTCTGGGCCAGGGGAGAGTGCGGGAGTTTAGGGTCTTCGGCCTTGGCGGGTTAAGGTTCTAAACCCCAACCCCCAACCCTAAACCCTAAAGCCCCTAACTCTAAACCCTAAACCCTAAACCCTAAGCCCTAAACCCTAAACCCTAAGCCCTAAGCCCTAAGCCCTAAACCCTAAACCCTAAGCCCTAAGCCCTAAGCCCTAAGCCCTAAGCCCTAAGCCCTAAGCCCTAAGCCCTAAGCCCTAAGCCCTAAGCCCTAAGCCCTAAGCCCTAAGCCCTAAACCCTAAACCCTAAACCCTAAACCCTAAACCCTAAACCCTAAACCCTAAACCCCAAACCCTAAACCCTAAACCCTAAACCCTAAACCCTAAACCCTAACCCTAAGCCCTACGCCCTAAACCTAACCCCGAAACCCTGAGCCCCTAAGCCCAAGCCCTAATCCTAACCCCTAAACCCTGACCCTAACCCTAAGCCCTAAACCCTAAACCCTAAACCCAACCTAAACCCTAAACCCTAAACCTAACCCCTAAGGCCCTAAGCCCTAAGCCCTAAACCCTAACCTAAGCCTAAGCCCTAAGCCCAAGCCTAGCCCTAAGCCCAAACCCTAAACCCTACCCCTAAAACCCTAAGCCCTAACCCTAAACCCTAATGCCCTAAGCCCTAAATCCTAACCCCTAAAAACCCTGACCCTAAGCCCAGCCCTAAATCCTAACCCCTACACCCTAGAAACCCTAAACCCTAAACCCGACACCTAAGCGAAGCCTAAGAAGCCCCCTAAGCCCTAGCCCCTAAACCCTAAGCCTAGCCTAAACCCTAAGCCCTAAGCCCTAAGCCCTAAGCCCTAAGCCCTAAGCCCTAAACCCTAAACCCTAAACCCTAAACCCTAAGCCCTAAACCCTAAACCCTAAGCCCTAAGCCCTAAATCCTAACCCCTAAACCCTGAGCCCTAAGCCCTAAGCCCTAAATCCTAACCCCTAAACCCTAAACCCTAAACCCTAAACCCTAAACCCTAAGCCTTAAGCCCTAAGCCCTAAGCCCTAAGCCCTAAGCCCTAAACCCTAAACCCTAAACCCTAAACCCTAAGCCCTAAACCCTAAACCCTAAGCCCTAAGCCC